GAGGAGTTCGAAATTAATTATACCTTTGATGCCCCACCAAATGCAAAGCATCACTTTCTGCGGATGGAAGTCCAGGTTTTGGGGTTGGAAGTGTTTTTTGTCTAGGACTGAGCCATTGTTTTTGGCGTTTAATATTCGCATAGTGAATTCATTTTTCATTATCGGTGACAATTCTGTCCAAAAATGGTTCACGCGGATTACGCGCCAGAAGAGACGAAGCAACGATCATCGGAGAGTTCATGAGGCACCCAAGCACCTTCTTTATGGAGTTTTCCCATATTCCTTAGATGTTTACGCATTGTTTCGTGAGAGACATGCAATTTCAGAACCATTTCACGAGTGTGTTGCCTTTGGTTAGACTCAACAAGCGTCTTCAGAGCATCAATATCAATTCCAACATGTCGGCCCCTGCCATCATAGGGATGGTTCAGCAAATTTTGTTCAGGTGACTTTAGCCTTAAAAAATTGACACTTACGAACGTTCAAAACATTTCCATAAACTTCTTTGATATTCTTTGTGGCTACAGAGGCATTGTTTCCCTTCTTGTATTCAAACAGCATTACATGCCGATCGTGTGTCTCGTCATGTGCCATCACTATAAGGTATTAGAGTATACTAAACTTTACACATTATATAGGCAACACTAACATGATGTTTAGGCAGTTCGTTTAACTATTATACGTGATGTAAATTTTTTGGGTGATGGTTAATGAAAGTGTTCCAAAATGCGACATTAATTTCTTGACGACCTAATATTATGTGGAAAATAAAATATTTCTCTAGATTAGATTATCTGGTTTATAAATGTAAACAAACTATCCATATGAGGTTTTACAGTATATAAGTTTATGAAAACTCTAGATGAGATTATATGGTGCATAATTGTATAAAAACTAGATGAGATTATATGGTGCATAATTGTATAAAAACTAGATGAGATTATATGGTGCATAATTGTATAAAAAACTAGATGAGATTATATGGCCCATAGCTGTATAAAAAAAACTCCAGGTGAGATTATATGGCCCATAGCTGTATAAAAAAACTCCAGGTGAGATTATATGGCCCATAGCTGTATTAAAAAAACTCCAGGTGAGATTGTATGGCCCATAGCTGTATAAAAAAACTCCAGGTGAGATTGTATGGCCCATAGCTGTATAAAAAAAACTCCAGGTGAGATTGTATGGCCCATAGCTGTATAAAAAACTCCAGGTGAGATTATATGGCCCATAGCTGTATAAAAAAACTCCAGGTGAGATTTTATGGCCCATAGCTGTATAAAAAACTCCAGGTGAGATTGTATGGCCCATAACTGTATAAAAACTCTAGATGAAGTTTTTGTAACACGTAAATGTACAGAACCTCTCCACAGTTTAAACTGTACATTATATAAAGAACTCCAGATTAGGTTATATGATATTTCAATGTACATAATTTCTCGTTATTATAATTTATGGTATATATATACAAAATATCTCTTCATTACAATGTATGGTGTATAAACATTCAATACTCTAAGTTAAGTTGTTTTATATTATCATTGTACAGAATTTCTCATTCTTAAAGTACATACACATTCTGTATCAAAATGAAAAGTATATAAATGTATAAACTCTTTTTGCTATTAAAATGTAAAGTATATAAAGGTATATACACACACTCCATAACAATTTGTTAAGTATGTAAATGTAACTACTACATCAACTAGCCATCCAATAAACAACACATTGGTATTACAGGGAAAAAAAATGTTTTGTACCGTTAGTAGATGAGAACCACTGGCTAATCGGTTGGTAAATATGTAAAATTACTAATTGTATCTAACTTAAAAAGGACATTTGGAACAAATTATTGCACCATTCAATTTTTTTCATGCTTTTTTTGGTTCCTGTAATGTTTTATGAGATTGTGCATTGTGGAAGTTTTAGAACTAGTGTAAGACAGTTATGAACATTGTGTGGTGTAAGATGACTCGTATTTTATTCATTCAAACACACGTGCCTCTTTGTTAACAAACCAACTGTGATAAATGTATTATTAATATATACTGGCAAGTACGAAAGTGTTCTCTGAGTAAGAAAACCTAGATTTAAAGATAATGTCACTAATGTAATTGACAAACGTGGTCACAGTGTCTGTTTCTTGTTTTAATATTTGGTTGTGCCCCTTTAGGCCTTGATAACTACTTGAAGTTGCTGAGGTATAGAGTGCACTAGGGACTGAATGTAGGCATGGGTGAGTTCATGATGCCACACATGGATTAGGGCTTCCTGCAGTTCCAAGGTGCTTCTTGGTTTCATTTCTTGCACTTTGTTACTTATTAACTTCCAGCAGTTTCCAATAGGGTTGAGATGTGGGCTGTTGCTTGGTCAGCATAGTATGTTGATCTTCTCTCTTCAAAGATAGTCCTTTACCTGAAGTAATGAAATAAAATCTAAGATGTCTTTTCAAGACATGTAGATTGAGATTTTCTTTTTAGTTCATGTTTACTGCATATAATACATAAATATTACAACCTTTTTAGCCCTGTTGCATGGAGTAGTCATCCTGGAATGTGCATTGGTCAGCTCCACAGAAGTGATCCCAAATTGTTGGCTTTAACCAGGTCTTTAGGACCTCAATGTAGTTGTATGTATTGACAGTACCTTTCACAAAATATAGGTATCCTATACACTGGCCAGAGATGCATTTTTGATATCACCTGGCCCTGCGGATGCTTCACAGTTGTGTTGAAACACGCTGAATGAAATTCTTCTCCACACCAACATTGTACAAACTGCTTCCCATCAGACCTGTTGAACTTTGATCCACCTGAGAAGATCACTTTACTCCACATTGCTTTAGTCCAATCAGAATGATCTTTGGTCCAGTTGAGGCTCATCTTGTTGGTGAGGAGGGGCTTCTTTCTTGGCCTCTTGAGACCAGCTGAACACAGGCTGAACAACAGTTAATAATTTTGTAGGCTTATGAATTTCAGAATAGAATTGTCAGCTGCTGTGGAACCTTTCTTCCTGCCCCTTCCCTTATAATGCTCCACACAGCCAGTTTCTTTATATCTTTGCACTCAGTGACTCACAGTAGACAAGTTAAATTTTTTGTTGTTAACAATTTACCTTGTCAAAAGTCCGTCTTTGCTCAAAGAAACGATTGTATTTTTCTGTGGAGCTAACTTCCAACCCTTGGCTATGATAGCATCACATGCACGTTATAGCACATAGGCTTCTAAACTGACTCTCGGTAAGAATTGCTGATGCAATACCCAGACAGCCTGTAAAGCTGCTGATGTAATAATTAGACGGTACTCCATCATCCATGAACCACAGTTGCACTTATGTGCATTAGGGCCTCAAAACAGACAATGATTCCAAAAAAACGTGTGAAAAATTGGGTAATGCAATAATTTTTTTCCACCACTGTGAGTCCCTTATAATTCTAAAGACACTCTCTTGATAACCTTGGAAGAATAGGTTTCCAATGTTTGAGGTAAATAATTTTATAAAGAAAGATGTATAGATAGTAGAATGCTGGTTAATTAAAGTACTAACATCTTAGATATGTAGGCATTAGAATACTAGTTAATTAAAGTAGTAACATGTAAGACATGCAGGTGTGTTAGAATACTGAATAATTAAATTAGTAACATGATAGACATGCTGTTGTGTTAGAATGCTAGTTAATTAAAGTGCTAACACATAAACATGCAGGTGTTGTAGAATACTGGTTAATTAAAGTGATAACACATAAGACATGCAGGTGTGTTAGAATACTGGTTAATTAAAGTACTAACACATAAAACATGCAGGTGTTTTAGAATACTGGTTAATTAAAGTCATAACACATAAGACATGCAGGTGTGTTAGAATACTGGTTAATTAAAGTACTAACACATAAAACATGCAGGTGTTTTAGAATACTGGTTAATTAAAGTGATAACACATAAGACATGCCTGTGTGTTAGAATACTGGTTAATTAAAGTGGTAACATGTTAGTCATGCAGGTGTTAGAATACATTAGATACATTTTTGTATAGTTTATATTGAATATACATTTATTTTTACATCATTTATATATATATATATATATAATTTCAGATTTCAACAGTTGTGTGGTAAAGCCTATCTTGTATTACGTCGTCATGCCAACCTACTTATCACACTTTTCACAATGATGTTGTCAACAGGAATCCCAGAACTACAGTCAATTGATGACATTGGTTACTTAAGAAAGACTTTACAGGTTGAGAAGACAGAGGAAGAAGCACTCCAGTATTTTCAGAACCAGTTCTTTGAGGCTTATGGTGGTGCTTGGACTACAAAGTTAGACTGGTTTTTCCACAGTGTCAAACACCTGTGACCTCCAACCAGACTTAGTGTTACTTATTTCATAAGCTTAAAACATAATGTTCATGTGATACATGAATCATAACATTAGACAGCCTTGTTATCTCTAGGCTTAACAGTTTCCAGATTTTCATAAAACCAAGCTTATGAACTCTTGATGTTTTTATTGAGACAAATCCCCAATTGGAATAAAATGTTTTTAGTTACAAAAAAAATTAGACTTGTACAGCTTCAGCTACTAGATGATATATATATAAACAGATTCAGCTGCTAGATTATGTATAATATACATATATATATATATAGCTTCAGCTGCTAGATGATATATATATATAAACAGGTTCAGCTGTTAGATTATGTATATATATAGCTTCAGCTGCTAGATTATATATATATATGTATATACACATAAACAGCTTCAGCTGCCAGATGATATATATATACATAAACAGCTTCAGCTGCCAGATGATATATATATACATAAACAGCTTCATC